AGACCATTTGTCATCTTTTACCTTGTTAACCTAAAAAGTCCGACTGTGCCTCAGATATCTGTGTTTACTTAGCTAATAAAAGAACAAATTGTAATCGGATAAAACTTTCCTCTTGAACAGCTTTCTGGGTAAGAAGTGGAGGTGTTTATTTGGGCAGAAATTCTCCAATTCTGAAAAAAATCATATTAGTATTGATCCCACCTCCAATCAATGATTAGTGATGAATCCAGAGAACTACGGAATACTGTCTCTGTGCAGCGATCTATATATATACAGGGTGGCGCATCGAAAACGAAACAGACGCATTTACTGGCAGCTCAAATAATTGAGCTTAACTGTCACAACTAAATCGTTTAATTGTCTGAATTAAAATTTTAATTGTCCCAACTTTTTTCCCAGTGCACATTCCCCAATCGTCACAAATTTACTGTAATTATTGAGTTTTGCACAAAGCAAGGAAATGATCCATCCTGAATATAAGTCGAGCAGTAACTCACCAAATATTTGTATATTAGGTTCCAAGATTTTTAATAGGCTTCAAAACTACATTAAAGATAGCAAATCAGTTCTTTTAAAAATAGTTTTAAGAATTTTTTTCCAATAAAAATTTTACAGGAGGCGCCCTAGCGGTCATCCGGTTTCAATGGCTGGCCAAGTTCTACCAAAAAGTCATTTATTTAGGCTGGTCCTAGTCCCGATCATCCAGAAATTGATCTGGTAGATCAAATCTTGTCAACAGCGGCAGCTGCTGGGAAAAAGCTGAGCTACCTGGTTTGGTACTTTTCTCCATACAACCTCCTCACTCTGTGCAAGGCCTAGATTAAGGCCTACCCTCCAGTACTGCTCACATATTTGGGGTGCTGCCGCCCCGACTATATCACCCTGCTCGATGCTGTTCAGAGAAGGATTGTCCGATGACGTATTTCTGCAAAATTTGTTGTGGCTTGAATTTGATGAAACGCATTATCTATTCGTTCTTGTTACTGATCAACAGTATTAATTTGATCAGCATACACTAGTTGCTTAAAAACGCCGCACAAAAAGAAATCCAGGGCGTTCATTCAAATCACTACTACGTTAAAATGTATAGCACCGTACGTCATCTTGTATTACGAAGTGTGGTGATTGAATTCACTTTTCTTTGTAGTTTCCCATAGCACTTCCTGGCTTTCTGTCGAACGAAGTCAAATGAAGTCTCTTAAAACGATTGCTCTTTATTGTTATATACTTCCCGGAATTCCGGTAAAGGCTGACATAAGGAATGTCGAGCATCCCGAAATTGTCATGCCATTAGAGCTCGGCAAGGCGTTTCTTCTCCAGCTGCTAAAAAATAAATCGGCACTCGAATAAAATAAAAATATCACCGGCCGGTTATGAGGAAGACGTATGACGAATATGTATATACAGGGTGTTCCTTAATGATATGAGAATATTTAACGGTGTGAATCTACATGAAACATTAAAGTTAGTTTGCTACCATAATACCTGTATTGTTCTTCAGCTGCTCTGCAGTATTTGGTTTTTAGGCGTAAACCCCATTTTTCAAAAATCGACATAATAAAGTCAAGAGCCGTTAAATCCGGTGACCTTATATTTATTGACCACCCTGTAGGTCAAGTTGAACATTGAACTCATTACTATTTCAGTACCACATTTCAAATATGAAACGCTGCCTATACATAAACTAATTCAGTTTCCTTGTGCTGTCAACTTGTTCGTGCTTTATTCATGGCACATTATTTTATAGTGCATATTTCTGGGCTAATTAACGAAATAAGGGCACAAGAAAACGCCCTCATCTGTGGCCAGAAAGTCTGTAATGTCTGAAGTCATAAATTATAATTAGTTGCATCCTATAAGGCACAATATATTTCTTTTTCTTACTGACACCGGCTTTCAGAAACGTTATGCTGTCATAGTCCAAGAGTCGACCTAAAATTTTGTTTACACCGCGTTCAGAGATGATATGATGAAAGCTATACTAAGTGATAGAAAAAAATGACACCCAACAATAATGGCTTTTTTGCAACATCTCTATTAGGGTTAGGTAAGTGATTGATCAAAGTTTCACAAAAAAACAACGGTTGAAAAGTTGTAAAAAATTAATAACTAGGTCTTATGCACTGAGAAACACTTATCTATGTGGTTCAGAAGCTGATCATTTTTTGTCCTAACCTAAACATATAGCTAGAAAGGAGAGAGAGAGATCGAAAAATATTGCTGTTACGAGCATATCATTATCGACACTGTCACGTATTACGTACTGAACACATTCGGTGGCTGCTACTTCTGTTGAAAATCCAGCTCGTAAACCAAACTGACGGTTTGTCAAGATTTTATTAGTGTTTAAGTAAGACCCAATCTTTATTGAAATGAGTTTTTCTATGATTTTTGAGAAAATACTTGAAAGTTCTATTCGCCTGTAGTTTTCTAAGTCTAAAGGATCACTTTTTTTAATATTAGAATGAAACTAGCTAATTTTAATGCAGATGAAAAAGTTCATTTAATTACTGAAGCATTGATAACTTCAGCAAGTATTGGTGCAATGATATCAGCATTATCCTTGAATAGCAAAACGGGAATCTCATGATGTTCAGTACTTTTTTTATCAGGTAAGTTGTTGATTACATCTAAGAGGGATGTCTTTTAAGTTTTGCATATAGAAACATAGTAGGCTGCGGGGATCGAACGTCAGTACTGAATCTTAGCCTCACTCTTTAGTGAACTTATATTCAAAGTTTCACAACAATACGTGCAGTGTTCTCACTACAGTGAATTTTTAAGTGTCACCAAGTCTTTAGAAAAATGGAACTCAACCGAGAACATTTTCGCGCCATAATTTATTACAACTTTCAGAGACAATTATCGTAACAAGAATGCCTTGCTGAGTTACTGTCTGTTTTCGGCAACGAAGCGCCACATCAGTCGACAATTTCCCGTTGGTATGGAGAATTCAAACGTGGACGGGAGAGTCTTAGCGACGATCCCAGGGTGGGTCCACTAAAAACGGCAGTCACCCAAAAAAACGTCGATGCTGTGCGCAAACTCATCATTGAAGATAGGACATGTGACATATCGCGAGATTAAGGCGTCCTTGAAGATCTCAAAGACCTCAATTCAAAATATTTTACATGAAGAATTAAGAGTAAGAAAAGTAGTTTCTCGTTGGATACCCCACCTGTTGACTGAAGACCAAAAAGCAGCCAGGGTTAATTGGTGTCAAAAAACGCTTGACCGTTTCAATTCCGGAAACTCAAAAAATGTGTACAAGAAAAGCCAACAAAAGTCATCCGTTCTCGAAGTGTTTCGAAAAAGATGGTCGCGACATTTGCGTCAAAAGCGGGTCATACTGCAACAATTCCTCTTAATGAGTAAATAACTGTTACTGCGGATTGGTATACCACCATTTGTTTGCCAAAAGTCATCACCGAGCTTCGCAAAATCAACCCCAAAAGAAGAATCATCCTCCACCAAGACAATGCAAGCTCGCACACAGCCCAAAAAACAAGGCAGTATTTAACGGAAGAAAACGTGGAATTATTGGACTATCCTCCATATAGTCCCGATCTAAGACCTAACGATTCCTTTACTTTCCCGAAAATGAAAAACAGACTGCGTGGTCAAAGGTTCCAGTCACCAGAAGAAGCAGTTGACGCATTCAAAAATGCCGTTTTAGATCTGCCAAATTGGTTCGAGCCCATGCAGATGTGTATTAATCTTCGTGGAGAATACTTCGAAAAACAATAACAATAACAGGACTGAAAAACATGCTGCTGGTGTTGATAGATGCAGTAGTACATTCATTGGATATAATAAAGAAATGAAATCTTTCTTTAAATGACACTGGATAAGTATTCACCAAAGTTATTTGCTATTAGTAGATGGCTCGTCATATGTGATACCATCAACGGAGTCACAGTTGATTTTATTATTTCTTCTGTGTGAATTCGCTATGTTCCATAACGTTTTGTATTTGTTGTATGAGTTGTTAAGCAAGTTACTATAGTAATACTTCTTGAGACATTTACACTTACGTTCGATTTTGACATCATGAATACGTTTTTGCAGCCGGTTCATGTTTTTCAATTTTGTCATTCAGCTCACCTGAAAAAAAGATTTTTCTATTAGCTTTTTTCGTCACACCAATGGATTTGAGTTGAAAAGTAACTTGGAAATACGGCCAGAAATGTCGTAAAAAGTTTTCAAAGGTGCGTAGAATTATCTGGGCTGGAATTCTATAAATTATTAAATTTTATTAATTATTATTAAAATTACTAGCACTAATAATAAGTGAAATATATTCCATCACCACCACCAGCCCCCAATATCCAATCTATGATGCCTGCATTTTTATGAAAATGGTCAGGTTTCGAATCGTTCTGAAGATTCCAGCAAGGGCAAGAACGAAACATTTTAGAAAGCCTCTTTTTTCCGATGCTAAAGTTTAATCCTAATTATCATACTGGAGGCTCCGCGGCTTAGAAATAAATCTTTCTTATTCTGCCCGCCTCGAAAAAGGAATCTTTAGATCACTCGAACATGATTTTGCATTTTAATTAATGAAGATTAATTATCATCGGCGTCCCGTCTTTTTGGTAGGAGCAGAAAATACAAAGTGGTGGAACCGAGCATAAGAAGTGAGAACGCGAAATACGTTCTGGAATGTTAACGTGGTACTAGCGTCACAGGCTTTTAAGATATAGCTAACTTCCACATTTTTTTTATCAGTACCAAGATGGGAATCTGATTTTGAGCACTACTTTTACAAGTGACGAACACCTTGTATTTCCCGTCGATATCCATAGTATGATCCCATTTTAGGATGGCTCTTTTTTGGACTCGCTCGCGCCACTACGATGAAGATTAATGATTTTGTTGTCAATAGGGTCCTAATTTCATCTAAATGCAAATTCCCTATATCAAGGAACTAAAGCTGTTGCCTTCGTTTTGTTACAGGAATGCTGGAAGAACCTGAGTTCACAGACGTTATTGAGAACATCACTGCAGCTGCTGGAAGAAACGTCAGATTCGCATGCTCGGTCAAGAATCTTGGAACGTATAAGGTAAGTCCATATCATATGGACCAGTTTTTGAGATTTTCTTCAAGAAGCAGGCGTTAACGAGGCTCCTACAATCACGGGGTTGAAAAGGAAACGAGGGTGGGCTGGCCCTAGACGGTTGTCGGCGCTACTTTAAAAGAGAAAAGGAAGACAACAAGCTGTAAAGTTCTAGTAAACTCCATCATATACCCAACAAAGTTATCTAGTAAGGCAATAAAAAAGTTTGATGTCCCAGAATTAAAAAATTTAATAATCAGTAACCGAATTTTCTCACTAAGAACCTTTCCTCTACCCATTTGGAAACCTTAACTAACCAAAACTATTTTAAACGTATTTTGACAGCTGTGATTAATAAAAACAATTGTCGTGGCTTTTATATTTCACAGCCACCTATGCGTTATAGACTTATTTTGCATTGAAATGAAAATAGGTTGATATGCTGTAATTGCAACAAGTGTTATTTTTATGCTGCAAATTTGATTAGGGAGTGATAATATATATATTATCAAAATATTCATTGTTAATATTTTAAACCTATAACATCCTGCTACATTTTTATTATTTGTGTTTGATAAGGAAAAAAAGTAAGATTTCAATAGTTGGGCCAACTGAAGTGGGAAGGGGATCGTACATATCAAGGTCAAAATATCCATGTTGATAAATGCATCAACACAGGAATCCCGGTATCCCAGTCCTGCTATCACCCTCACGCATTTTGTTTGTTTTGCGAAAACTCTAGAAGCGTGCGAGGAGTGTCTCCACAACAGGATTCTATATACCGCATGGGAGGGAAAGTAGCTATAATAAGCTTGCAAACTGACATTCAATTAACTATATTGCGAAGGGCAAAGAAACGTCTACCAAGTTTGCTGGTCCATAGGATGGAAGTTTACATTAGAGAGCAGCATGCCATACTGATCGAAAGCTTTCGTGATATCAAGAGCAACGACATGAACCTCACCATAACACTGAATGAGTTACGTGACGGACATTTCCAGTTTTGTGGAAAGTACCGGATTCGTAAGACGCGAAAGAACTGGAGCACGCTCCGTTGCGCACAACGGTTGCGCATCTCTTCAGTACAATAGCAGAAGACCATAAGTTTTGTTGATATTTCTACTGAATTCGTTCAGAGGCATTGTTTTTTCATCTTCTCATGAAGTTTCTGTGGCGTTTTTTTTTTGCATTTTTAATGGCCATAAAATCGATGAAAAAAACGAGGTGGGAATGCCATCAACGATATTACGATGGCGATGTTTATCGATGCTTTCTGAAAAGTTGCCACCCCTAATTCCAGTATTTTATTTAATTTTTTTGTGTCTCATTATAAGAGGCAAGAAAATTTCGATTGTCCCCAGTAGTTTCTTTGTCGTCGTAAATTCTCTCATTTCTTCTGTTATCGAAGGAAAAAACCAGAAGCTCATCCAAAGCTTAACGTGTCTGCACCGTACTATCTATTCCAAATTATACGCTGGAACTTTTATCTTATACCCTAGTTTTTCTTGTTGGCGACGTTAAAAAAGTTTTATCTGTCCCACAAAGCACCACACACAGTCGAGCTGAGAATAGGGATTAGATAATTTGTTACAGCGATAAATTACCATGTGTATGTTAAATACCATGTGTGTTCCTCCAACAATATCACGGACATCTGCAGGAACATCTAGAACTTTTCATCGTACTGACTGACATAATTTTGTCATGTTGGCTGTAGCTGTGGACAGCTCAGATAATTTTATTGACGTTCCAGCTGCTACGGCCCGCTTCAATGCATTCAATAAAAGCATATTTTAATTAAATAGTATTTTTTTTTTTGAAAATAGACTTTGAATATGCAGTACGCAGTATGAGTCAACTCTTGCACACTGCGACTGCTGTGAAAGTCCTTGCAAAGTCTGCGAAAATCAAGAGTTCGCTAATTCGGCCTCACAAACAACCTTTCAAATTGCTTCGAAGTGAACTTAAAATACTATTCAGGTCTTTTAACTTTAAAAAATTATAAATTTTAACCGAGTTTTCAAGCACTGAATATACCCATTTTCAGGGGTTTTCAGATATAAAATCGCTTATAACTCGAAAACCTTTTGTTTTTTATACTCCAACTACCACGAAGGTCTAAGGCCGAAACACCCATTGGGTACTCGTATCGTGGGGCTAGATGAATATTGGAAAAGGTTCGACTATCTGGCAAAGCACGATCGGGATATCTCTGGTGATAAATCCGTCTGGCTTGCTCACCATTACCGTCGGTAAGGTCATATACGTCATGCATTTCCGCCATTCCTGCATTTGAATAATTCACCATGATTAACAAGATTGTAAAAACTAAATAATGAAAAAGATGTCACAGCGAACAGATTTGGATAACAGAGACTTGTCAGATGTCAAACGCCAGTGTCATATTCCAGAGCAACTAGATATTTATTGCTAAATTGCGTTCTTCAATTATTACATTAATTTTCTCGGACAATAGAACGGTATTTAGTTTTTGTTCCTTAAATATTCGCATATCATTAAGGAACACCCTGTATACAACGTTGTTATCAATAATCAGGTCAATATTTCAGCTTAGTCTTTAGGAGACAAATGACAAAAGTAAACAAGGGAATGACAGCGTACAGTTATAAAATTTCGAAAATTTTGTGCCTCAGTACTGAGTCAATGTACTTGAATCCTTTTTTTTTGTTCTTACCATTCGTATTATCGTCTCAAGGTCACCTCGGGATTAAAATCTCTGGTATTTTTAGCCATTTTTTCCAACAAACGTCCTGATTCAAGAACAGATGAGAAAATTCACGGCCATGAGACTAACTTGCCAAAGAAACTACTCAGAACAATCGTTAGCAAAAAAATCTTCTAGCTTCTTAGAACGGTTCACAGAAAATTAAATGAAACATCTTTTATTCATAAAGCATTCCAGAAGTAAAAAGCGACTTTCAATCATCCCTTTTCATTAGAAAAACAGTGTCGTTTTCTTGAAGGCTGGTGATGTATTAAAAAAGTGATGTCGCCAGATATTCTAACCAGTCGCTGAAATTGGACAGGCTTGATAAGTTTCACATACAGATGAAATAGTTTTCTGGAATAATAGACCAGGACTAATACTACTATCGTTCGTCCAACCAACATAGGTCTAACCAGTCTAATCAGTCGGACCCGTTCACAATGCCAGACAGACCCGCCTGACTACGGCCTTCCATCTTAACCGTGTCGAACTTTATACATTCAGAATTGAAAACTTAACCTTAAAGAACAAAAGTTGACGTCGGTGAGGCTTAAGGCCATCAGTGAATCCCTTGCTCAAAGTTAGTAAACACTCGGCTTCGCAAAACAAAGGTTGACTTAGGTGAGGCTCAAGGTCAAATACAAGGTCATCATTGAACAACTTGTTCAAAGTTAGTAAAAACCAGCCTTAAAAATAAAGGTTAGCCTAGTTGGGTATCAAGGTCAAATACAAGATCATTATTGAATGTTCAATGTTACTAAATACCTGACAAAGGTTGAGGTAAGTGACGCTCGAGGACAAATCCAATTTCATCATCGAACCCCTTGTTCAAGGCTAGTAAGAACCCTTGACTTTAGAGAACAAAAGTTCTCCTAAGTGACGCTCAAGGTCAGAGCCAAGGTCGTTACTGAAACTCTTATTTAAAGTCAGTGGATGCTCGACCTTGAAAAATAAAGGTCGACCGAGGAGGGGCCCAAGCTCAAACTCAAGTTCATCATTAAACCCCTTGTTCAAAGTTAGTAAAGACTCCAGTTTGAAAAACAAAGGTTGACCTAGGCCTCAGCCCAAGGTCAAACTCAAGGTCATCATTGAATTTCATGTTCAACGTTAGTAAAGACGTGACCTCAAGAAACACAGGTTAACCTAGGTAATGCTCAAGATCAAATACAAGACCATCATCGAACCCCTTGTTCTCAATTAGTATAGTCCTGACCTCAAAAAAAAACAAAAGTTGACGTGTGTGAGACTCAAGGTAAAATCCCAGGTTATCATTCAAAGATAATAAAGTTTTAAACTCAAAAGAAAGGTTGACCTGGATGAGGCTTAAGGGCAAATACAAGGCCAATATTGAATCACTTGTTTAAAGCTAGTAAAAACCGATTCTACAAAACAAAAGTTGACATAGGTGAGACTCAAGGTCGAATCCAAGGTCATCATTGGACCCCTTGTTGAAAGTTAGTAATAACCGACCTTAAAAAATAAAAGTTGACCTAGGTGAGACTCAAGGTCGAATCCAAGGTCATCACTGGATCCCTTGTTCAGAGTTAGTAAAAAGCTGACCCTTATGAAACAAAGGTTGTACTAGTTGAGGCTCGAAGTCAAATTCAAGGTCCCTTGTTCGAAGCTAGTAGAGGCATGACCGTAAAAAGCAAATGTTGACGTAATTGAGGCTGAAGGTCAAATCCAAGATCCATCATCGAACTCGTTCAAAGCTACTGAAACACGTTAAACAGCAACAGTTGACCTAAGTGATGCTCAAGCTCATATCCAAAGTCGTCATTGGCCATTTGTTCAAAGTTTTTCAAAAGTACCTTACGCACAGACCCATTCCGTTTTTTGTTATTACGGATCACTGTGGTGACGTCACTAGCAAAGTCATGCTACGTTCATGGCACGATTTGATTATGATACGCTATAGTGAATAAAGACCTTAATGAAATATCCTTCTGGATATGGTCACAGGAAATTCCTAATCCAGCGGAAACTTCTGCTAGTGCTTATAATAGAGAATACCCGTCAGGAGAGCGTTAGAGTTAAAATTGGCACCAGCGTCCGATTGTCAACTATAATCCGGTGGAATCTGCTAATTTGATCTTCGGAACCGATAAAGATACGAGCAAATTTGAGAATGCGCCGCGAGAGCTGAGAATACGTGATACTGCGGGCTCAAGTTGAAAGTGCATACTCTAACAAATATTAGTTTGTGACCTTAATAACCAACCGTCGCCGTCACAGGATCCGGCTCACTTTGCACAACTTTTGTAATCTGTTTAATATA